AGTTGTCACTCTATTAGTTTCTGGGAGAGCTTGATTGTTAAAAAAAAAAAGAGTATACCATCTTCCTCCTCTCCCTTTTTGCTTCCTCTCTCACCATGTGGTCTGCTCATGCCAGCTCCCCTTCATCTTCCGCCACGAGTGGGAGCAGCCTGAGACCCTCACCAGAAGCTGATGCTGGTACCATGCTTCGTATATATCCTGCAAAACTGTGAGCCAAAGAATTCCCTTTTCTTTATAAATGACTCAGCCTCAGGTATTCCTCTATAGCAACACAAATGCACTAAGACACTCCTGCTTCCTTTCATTAGCTATTTCAAGCTCAAAAATTATGAGATAGTTCCAAAAATTAGAGCAGTATCTTGTCATTGTGAACTTACAACTTTTCTATCGAAAGCAAAGGGTCCTAACCCCAAACCATAATTGGAATGATGCCTCTACTCAAACTTCATTACCCTTAAACTGCCACTTCTCTGCCTTCCACTCCCCACTTACTCGCTGAAAGACAAATGAATTTAGGCTGGGCACAGTTAGCCATCATGTTCAGAAAAATGAGATCTTCCTGCTTGGTATTCTCACTGAGAATCTCTTTCCTTAGCTTATGGATCCCCCTACACAGATTCCTGACAGCTCACTGGGCCATAGACCCAGCCAGATTTTTGAGCTACATCTGCAGTATCTTTTCTACTCAGGCAGCTGGCATAAGGTGGGAAAATTCATTAACATGCTAATGATGTCCTATTTAAAATTCTAGCCCTGATTATTCTGTGATTAAATCTCTCCCCTTGACGTCGGTTTCCTTTATAGCTGAGCTACAGTGCGAAATCAACAATATTAATAAAGTACAATACAGATTACCAATGTATACACAAGGGATAGTGAAAAACAGCTACGTAAATATGAGGGCTGTCTTTTTTTCTTGAAAAGCAGTTGTAGGCCTGGTGCGTTGGCTCACATCTGTAATCCCAGCACTTTGGGAGGCCGCGGCGGGTGAATCACCTGAGGTCAGGAGTTCAAGACCAGCCTGGCTAACATGGTGAAACCCCATCTCTACCAAAAAAATACAAAAATTAACTGGGCATGATGGTGGGTGCCTGTAATCCCAGCTACTCAGGAGACTGAGGCAGGAGAATCACTTGAACCTGGGAGGCAGAGGTTGCACTGGGCCGAGATCGCACCATTGTACTCCAGCCTGGGTGACAAGAGTGAAATTCTGTCTCAAAAAAAAAAAAAAAAAAAAAAAAAATCAGATGTAACAAATTGTAAAAATTGCTGATTTTTTTTCATCCCTCCTTTCTTTAAAGAAACACACATATTGGAATCCACAATAATTAAATGTTTAAATGTTTATAGTTAATTTCCATAAATATTCAAGGTTTAGAAGATTGATTTAGCTTTTCCTTCTATTTCACTGCACTTAGCATTGCTCAGAATTCAAATGTGTTATCCTGAAGTCTTAAAAACAGCTGACAGGAGTTAAAGTGCACTTCTTATCATCTCTTTATAGAGATAGTGTTTTGGTGACAAAAGCCAATGGATTCAGTGATGATGTCTGTCTCCCTTTGCCCTTGAGTACCTTGGCATATTTCAGTTCCTTTTCTATTATCATATTGTTCTGTCTGCTGACACTCCAATCTGAATATCTGACTCAAGACAACTCAAGCATCTTCCAAGAAAGACAATCAAACTTACCACTACTCTCATTAATTTGGAAAGTGAATAAAGAAACAGAAGATTCAAGGCCTGGATCTACAATCTAAAATTCAGGAAGAAAGGACTCCTGTGTCACTTTAACATCTGACCCCAGTAAGTAAACAAATATTTGAGGCATAGTATATTTACTATTTTAAAAGACATCATGCTGGATACCAGAGCAGTACAGTGAAACCTGAGGACAACGTTCTGACCTCAGTCGACTTACAATCTAGCCAGAGACACAAGATATTGGGATATCTTAAGTGATCAGTGCAGCAAGTTCATCTCAGGTGAATCATTAGAGATATACTTCACATCATTAAGAGGTCACTGTATGAGAGACACTGCTAATTGTTCCCTAAGACTGCAAATCTCCCCTTTTGCTATGGAAACAGAACTCAGGACTTCAGCAGGGCACACTGCTGCCCAGGGTAAGGACAGCTCCCAGCCCCCCCTTGCAAGTAGCTGTTACAATACAACAAGGTTGAGGTGACAGGGATGTGGCCATAGCAGAGATGTGTGCAGATTTCTCAAAGGGTACTTAAATGGGATAGGTGAGCTCTCTTCCTTCTTCATTTTCTCTGACTGGACCTGGACATGCCTGTGGCCAGGTCAGCCAGGTTGGACTGAATGGCGCATATTGTGGGGCAGAGGAGAACAAAATAGAAGAGCCTAAGTCCCTGACAATCAAGGTGGCTTGTTCATCCATGAGTTGCCTTTTTCCCCCTGAATGTTGCATTCTACAACCATTGTTGGAAATCAAAATCTTTTTTAAGAATACTACATATTGCTCATTTCTTAAATGGTTTCATTCACTAAAACTAAAGAGTCATGGTACATGCATGTAGATGTGTATGTGCGTAAGCACACGCTCCTTTGTACTTCCCCTGTATTTAAACTTGAACACAGAGCTCCCTCTGAATTTTTAAGTCTCGAAACACAAAAATAGCTGAATAGGGACTTTGGCCCAGTTTTATCACATTTTAATAAATAAAAGTTTCAATATATTCAGGTATTCATTATTTATTTGTTGCCCACACTCACAACCCTAGATTATTAATTTGGTTTACTTAAAGCCAACTCACCTCAAATTGGCTAAAAAAAGAAAAGCAAGCATGTATAAATCAACATATAGGGAAAAGGGTGGCTGATCCAGCAAAATCCAAGTGTAAAAACATAAAGAGAGGCTTCACAACAGTAATGAGCCATCTGCAATTTAGAATCATCCATAGTAACAATCTCTCATTCCATTTGTTTATGTTTTATTCATCATTTTGAAGACACTTAGTGAAGTGACAATGATGAGATTCAAAAAATACTGCATGGTCCTTTTTTAAAAAAGAGATATTAATGGCTTTCAAGAGCTCAACTGTTCAAATGAAAATACTGCTGGACTAAATTTGTTCACATCTTCATTCTTGGATATAATATATTCTTCATTTTGTGAACAATTATGTGGTGATAACGAGAAATTTTGTAGTTTTCATTGTTTATACATTTTAAAAATCAATAGCAGAAATCTACTTAAAATGTACAGTGCTCGCTGGGCATGGTGGCTCACGCCTGTAATCCCAGCACTTTGGGAGGCTGAGGCAGACGGATCACCTGAGGTCAGGAGTTCGAGACCAGCCTGACCAAAATGGAGGAACCCTGTCTCTACTAAAAATAAAACATTAGCCAGGCATGGTGGCGCATGCCTGTAATCCCATCTACTCGGAAGACTGAGGCAGGAGAATCACCTGAACGCAGGAGGTGGAGGTTGCAGTGAGCTGAGCTCGCACCATTGCACTCCAGCCTGGGGAACAAGAGCAAAACTCTGTCTCAAAAAAAAAAGTACAATGCTCATTCCTATCATGACAGAGTAAACCTAACCCAGGCTGTGGTGTCTTGGATAAGCATGTTGTCATTCCTTAGTACTATAGTTATTTAGGCTCAAAGGTACTGTCTCTAGTTACACACATGGCAAAAACAAGGCTTGACCTTTAAGAGTAAAAGAAAAAAAGATAAGTTCTATTAAGCCAACTTAAGGGTATTCATTACAAAGAAGACAGAATGACTACTGAACATACTCTTTGATTCAAATATCTTTATGAAGAAACCTCTCTCTACACAAATTGGTAAGCCTTTAAAAGAAAATTTATGCATCCCGAAATGATGCATTTAACTTCAGCTAGCTGATTTTATATCTCTCAATCTAGCTTATGAATACTAATCTCCATTTATGAAATATTTACAAAAGCCCTATTTCAAATCTGGTTCCTATCAGCCCCGTTCTTTTTTTTATTTCTTCTTAAACAAGCATGCATTGTAAAATATAGCCATTTATTCATGTATTTCTTTCATTTGTTTAGTAAATGATGACATTTATTTAAGAACCATGATATGCTATATATGGCCCCTGACTTTTAGTTAGTTTCTAGGAGCAATGGAAAGGCAGGCACGTGCACACACACACACACACACACACACACACACTCCAGAATCTTTGTAAATTAATCTGCACCACTTAATCTGCCCAGGAGATAGATGTTATTCTTGTCATTTTACCGGTGCAGAAACAGGTTCTAGTATTTAATAAAGATTACATCTGAATTTGCTTTTAATGATTTCACTCTGCATACTAGAAACTGAATCATCGGAAAGTCCTTACTTTTTTTAAGAAATGAGTTTATACTATCTCAATTTGGACTGAACCAGCATCTTCCGAGACCATCCCTCTGGGTGCAAATCTCAGAGTAACCTCAGTTACTCTTAACAACTGGAAAAGGAAAGAACACAAGAACACTCGAAGTCCTCCGACAAGCAGACACTTTGGCTAAGGCAGCATTTGCCTCTTCCACATCATCCTTCCCAGGGAAAGAAGCTCTCAGAAAAGTGTACACATAGAAGAGCCACTTTATGGTCTTTCCTCAATTTTCTCAGATCAGCCTGATTTAGTCTATGATTGTGCAGACCAGGAGACTGAGCCAAGGGACAAAAGGAAGATAATTGTCACACAAAGAAAATGGGCAAGACCTTGCCAAGGGAGAAATTGCTCTAAATAATAACAAGGCTATTAGCAAATGCAGGGTGGGAGGGGGAGCAGAAAAAGAAAAGATGTCACATGTGAATATAAAAACAAAAGCTGACAAGTAATTCCACCCAGTTTGCCAAGGCGCCTGCCAAAAATGTCCCCCAGGAAAAGAGCCATGTGTTCCATGACGCCCTTCACAGTGATGTTCACATAAATCACGGAACATTCTGCCTGACCACAAAACACAACAAATATCATCAATATCTCAGCCGCATAGCAGTTGTGCACTACCTACCATAGGCAGTCTCCTGGTGCTTCCAGTTCTCTTCTCAATCTGTCGTAATCTTCTTTAACACTTCCCAGCTTTTTGACATTCCTGGAACTCAGCACCAACAGCTTGCTGAGGAGTCCCTCCAGCCCTTCTCTCTCTGATGTTAATGATCTAATCTCCTCGGTGAGGTCCTTAGCTGTACAGAAATGGTTTCCTACAGCACATTGTGGGAGAGAAGGAGGGAAAACAAGCTTTACAGCATCCACACACATGGAAGAGCTGGCAGCAGCTAACGTACATTCACAGCATGGGCAAAGAAACTGAACTTGGAGATTATGTACAACTTCCTCAACAGTCCTCTGGGGAAAGAACCTGGAAAAGCACTGCCCTCCCTAAACTGGAAAAAAAAAAAACACCAGTCTTTTTTATCACCTTATTCTTGTTATGTCCATTTTAGGAGTTCTATTGGCTAAGCCGTGTCCTGTGAAATATGATGACACAAAAATTTCCCAGTGGAATCCAGAGAAACCACAATGTGTCACTCTATTCAAATAATATACAAATGTCAAAGACATGACATATTATAGTAGGGTAGAAGGGGACTGGGCCATCTAATTAGAGTGGACCTAAATTAAATTCCTAGCTCCCCTGTTATTCAAATTGCATGACCTGGAGCAAAGAAATTAGAACATCTGGGGCAAATTGCTTATAAAATATGATTGCAATAATACCTGAATCATAGGTAGATACAAAAATAAACAAGAAATTCTGTAAAGCACTGAGCAAAATACATGGCATGTTAAATGTAGCAAGGTTGCAGGATACAAGGTCAACATACAAAAATCAATCTTATGTCTAAATATCAACAACAAAAAACTGGAAGATGACTTTCTAAAAAAACACAATTTACAAGATGTTTTAAAACTCAAAATATTGAGGGGTACTTTTTAAAAATATGTGCAAGAGCTCTACAGTGAGAACTTTTTCAAAAACTGCTGAGAGAAATTGAAGACAAATATTTTAAAAGATACACTATATACATACACTGGAAGTTCAATATTGGTAAGATTTCCATTTTCCCCATATTGATTCACTGATTTAATACAATTGCAATCAAAATTTTATGAGGCTCTTTTGTAGAAATCTATTAGCTTATTCTAAAATGTTGAAGAGTGAGCCAGGCATGGTGGCTCACACCTTGTAATCCCAGCACTTTGAGAGGCTAAGGTGGGTAGGATCCCTTGAGGTCAGGAGTTCAAGACCAGACTGGCTAACATGGTGAAACTCCACCTCTACTAAAAATATAAAAATTAGCCATGCACAGTAGGACAAACCTGTAATCCCAGCTACTCTGGAGGCTGAGGCAAGAGAATCACTTAAATGTGGGAGGCGGAGGTTGCAGTAAGCCGTGATCCTACCACTGCACTCCAGCCTGGGCAACAGAGTGAGACTCCTTCTCAAGATAAATAAATAAAATAAAATGTAGAAGAATGAGCCCATGAGTCTGAGGTTGTAGTACACTATGATTGCACTTTTGAATAGCCACTGCACTCTGACTGGGCAACATAGCAAGGCCCCATCTCGAAGAAGAAGAGAAAGAAGAAGGAGGAGGAGGAGGAAGGAGGAGAAGAAGGAAAAGGAGAAAGAAAAGAAGGAGAAGAAGGAGAAGGATGAGGGAGGAGGATGAGGGAAAAGGAGGAGAGAGGAGGAGGAGGGAGGAGGAGGGAGGAGGAGGGAGGAGGAGGGAGGAGGAGGGAGGAGGAGGGAGGAGGATGGAGGAGAAGAAGAGGAGGAGGAGGAGGAGGAGGAGGAGGAGGAAGAGGAAGCAGCAGCAGCAACAAAGGCCTATGTAAACCAAAGCGATCTTTAAAAAGTTAGTCTTGATTTCAAGACTAATGCTAAAGCCACTATAAATCAAGATAATATGGCACTGCATATAGATAGAGGAATAGATCAATGGAATAACAGTCCAGGAGTGGATTTATATATATATAGCCAACCAAAGTGCCAAAGCAGGTCAATGAGGAAAAGAAGGTATTTTCAATAAACAGTGCTGGAACAACTAGCTATCTACATGGGAAAAATTTTAACCTTGATTCATACCTCAAACCATACACAAAATTTAATTAAAGGTGGATCACAGACCTAAATGTAGAAGTTAAAACTATAAAGTTTCTACAAAAAGAAAATAAAAGAATATTTTATCGAATTTGGAGTAGGTAGGAACTTCAGATAAGATACAGAAAACAGTAACGATCAGTAACGATTTTAAAAAGAATAAATGGGCTTTATCAAAATGTAAAAGTTCTCCTCATCAAAAGACACCACTAAGAAATGAGACAAGAAGTCACAGACTTGGAGAAAATCACTGCAATATGTTTAACTGACAAAGGACTTGAATATTACAACCTGACAATTAAAACACAAATGGCGCCACTAAAAAATAGGCAAATGATTTAATAGGCATTTTACAAAGTAAGACCTACAAATGGCCAATGAGCATATGAAAAAGCATTTGGCATCATTAATCATTAGGAAAAGAAAAATGTAAACCATACAGATTCCACTACAAGCCCATTCAAATGTTTCAAATTAACTAGACTAAAAATGTCAACATTCACAAGGATATGGAGCAACTGGAACTCTCACTCATGTAAAATGGTCCCTTCAAGAAAAGTACTGCCAGTTTCTCATGAAGTTAAATGCACACCTACCCTTTAATCCAACAATTCTACTTCTAGGCATTTACAGAAAAGAAATGAAAACACGTACTCAAAAATATTTGCACTCAAATAAATGTCCATAGTGTCTTTATGCCCAAGAGCCAGCCCCAAACTGGAAGCAATCTAATGTCCATCAACAAGGAAATGCGAAAATAATACGACAGCTACACAATGAAAGACTATTCAGCAATAAAAAGAAACAAACTCTTCACATATGTAGAAACACATATTTATCTTTACAAAAGATGCAAAGGAATAGTGCTCCATGATTCTATTAAATTCTAGAAAAGGCAAAATTAATCCATGGTAGAAGATATCAGAACCGAGGAGGGATGACGATAACTGGGAAATGATACAGGGTAATGTGTCTTGAGTGATGAAAATGCTCTATCTCTTGATTGGGCTCTTTGCAACACAGGAGGTGTCAAAATTCAAGAACTGTATACTTAAGACCTCTGCATTTCATTGAATGTAAATCACACCTCAATTAAAAAGAGGAAAAATTAGGAAATTTTTAAGCATGAACATTGAACAATAATTAATAAATATATAACATTAATGAATACCCCATAAATTAGTGTTATTAGAAAACCCCACTATGTTTTCTAAGAATTTATAGTAACCATAATCGCAATAATAGCTACAAACTTTCTCAACTTTAAATGTCATCATAACTTTAGGAAATAGGTTATGTCTTATATTATTATTATATTTTTTTTACATTTTAACATCTCTGAAATAGGGACGTGTCCTACAATTGCTATCAGCCAGGAAGTAGTCAGGAAATAGTCAGAACAATCCAGGTTATAACTGGATTGTTTTCCCAGCTCTGGCTGACCATCTGCAACCACCTGGTGTTTCAATGTGCAAACCATTTTAGGACCACTTGCATCCCGGCTGTTGCCTGAAAATCTTCTGTTGATGTGGATTTGTAAGACTGGAAAAGCACTAGCATTTAAAACTTGAAGGAAGGTGTTAGCAGTTTAGCAAACAATCCTACAGAAAACAGTTCATCCTTGGGGGAGAAAAAGTTGCCTCCCAACAACTTCAATGGTTCAGAGGATGATGATGTATGGAGAAACATGAGCCTCGACAACGTTGAGACCGAATGTGTCTCAGAAGACTCAAGCTGAATAGGAAGATGCCTAGGACAACCTTAACCAATTTTCCTTTTTAATCAGTGATATGTGATTTTTCAAAAGCCTAACTACATCTGAAAGAGCTATTTCAGTAAGTACAAGATAAAAATTCTAAACCACAGAAAGCACTGTTACTGTTTAATTGACAATATTTTTTCTTTCTTTGTAATATATAGAACAATGGTGCTTTTTTTTTTTAGATGGAGTTTTGCTCTGTCGACAGGCTGGAGTGCAGTGGTACAATCTCGGCTCACTGCAACCTCCACCTCCTGGATTCAAGTGATTCTCCTGCCTCAGCCTCCCAAGTAATTGGGACTACAGGCACCTGCCACCACGCCCAGCTAATTTTTTGTATTTTAGTAAGACAGTGTTTCATCATGTTGGCCAGGATGGCTTCATCGCCTGACCTTGTGATCCACCCGCCTCCACCTCCCAAAGTGCTGGGATTATAGGCATGAGCCACTGCGCCCAGCCAGTGCTTTTTATGTTCACTGAAATTCATACTGTTATCTGTTTTTACAGCTGGGAAAACAGAAATCTGGAGAACTATCTTGCTGAAGATCACAGTGCAGTAAACCATATGGCAAGTTTCTGACTCAAACATCACCTAAAACCCCCCTCTTAAACGCAAATTATGCTGCTAACTTCTTTATTGTTACTTAGCAGGCAGATTTCAGACAGATACAAATGTTGAAAATGTTACAAAATGTTTTCCCTCCTCAAAGGCATTCTGAAACCTAGCACATATCACCTGTCGCCAAAGTCCATAGTTTCCAATGCCGTGATTGGATAAACATCCTATTGAGACTCATTTGTTTGTCTGTTACTGTTTTAAGCAACAGGGTAAACACAAAAGAGAACAAGTACTGCTCCTGCTCTCCAGGAAGTTACCATACAATAACCAGAGAAGGTGCCTTCCAAAGAATAAGCAAATACTAGGAGAGGGCAGAGGAGAAGAAAGATTATTCCAGAAAGAAAGACTGAGGCAGATTTCAGGAGGGAAGAATATAAGAGTCCCCAAAGAAGAAATAGGAACTTTAGTTAGACAGCAATGGGCAGGGGGTAGGAGGTGAGACTAAACTTATGAGGAAGTTGCTTCAAAACAGCAGCGCCCAAAATGCCAAGCTGCTGGGTTGGGCCCATTTAGAAAAAACCCACAAAGTCCACATGAGAGCAGACTGCACTTCTATGCGCTTCAAGTTATAAACAGAAACACAACTAAAACCTTTCCTGAATTGGTAATTTCCATACTGACCAATGGCCAAGTCAGGGAATCTGAGGATCAAGCCCCCTACCACATGCCACAAAGAACCTCAAGGGACCCCACACTCTGAGGAGCTTGCATGACTGCT